GTTTCGGCCGTGAAATCAGGCTCCGGCGGCTTCTGCAGGTTGACGAGGTTCTTGAGATTCCGATTCCTGTGGACCCCACGCAGGGCATTGGCAGCGAACCTCGATGCCAGGAAAGTTGCCCTGATACTGTACGAACCCCCAGACTCAGCCTCAGCCTCCTCTTTCCTCCTGAGATCCAATAACTTCCTCTTGGAGTAGCGGCGCCAGGCGGCCTGGATGAAGCATGCGGCCCACGTGCGCCACTGCTGCGAGTAGAACCTGAACGTGTGCTGCACCTGTCGGCTGTGGAGGCGCCGGAACTGGCCGGCCACGAACTTCAGCTCATCGGCAGATAGCGCAAAGGCCTCGACCTCCGAGAGGGCGCGCACGGTGCGGGTGGACGACGGGAGATTGGAGGCAGACTTAGGGTCGAGGGCCCACGTGAGAAGCTCCTCACCACAGAAGTCCCCCTCCTTGAGAAGGCTGCGGTTGAAGAAGCCACTGCGGCCGCCGTCGGTGGTCACACTCTCGAGGCGGCCTCGGATGAGGAAGATCATCTCGTCCACTGGGTCCCCTTCACGCACGATGTAGCTGCTCTCTGTGTACAGCCACGGCTTCAGCCGCTCGCAGATCGCGTCTAGCAGCCGCTCGTCCATCTTCTCAAACAGCGGCACCTACATAAATTCCACTCTCGATTTTGGATTGGCCTCTCGTTTTTCGGACATGCACGAGAGAAGAGAAATTCGGAAATTTATTTACCCGCTTCACCAAAGCCAGACAGAGATGGCGTTTGATGTCTCGTCTGAGATCCTTGGGCAGACTCTGGACGAGACTCTCTTCATCAACCCCACGCGTCTCGAGCCACTTGTACTGATCATATCGCCTCACTCGCTCCCTCAGATCGGGCGGCAGCAGACGGTGATGCATCCATTGCTCTGAGTCCCGCCTTTTCACTCTCATCTCTTCCAGTCGAATAGTCAGTGATTGAAGGTACGTCTGACCCAATCGCAAAAGGATTTAAAATTAAATAGTTCAGATGAAGCACTGGTAAATCCTAAATCAGAGAACAAGAGATATAGACAAATGGGATATACACTACAAGGAAGGAGAGAAAATCAAGCGAGAAAATAGTTAGAAGCAAAAAATGAGTAGACAATGTGGTCGTCGTATGATTACCTGCATATTCCCAATCAACAACGCAAAGAGAATAAGTCCGAAGATAGCAAGTGCGATGCTGAATATAGACTCCCCAGGATAAGTACTGGTTTGAAGTCCCTGTCCAAGGGTACTGAAGAAACAAAGATGATGATTGAAAAGTTAATCATCATATCTTTTTATGTCATAACAAAAACTCCACTCTCACACCACTTGGACTTCTTCTAGCTTCTCATAAAGACAATGAGAAGAGCTATTTATTAGTTTTTCACTTTTTGACACCCTAAGCGGGTAGGTGAATGACAACAGATTATTAGAAAAAAATTTCCGGCCAGTTTCACGTAAGCAAAGCACAGATACAATCATACAAATAAGAAATTGTAGATCAAGACTATTAACCGAGAATACAATGCACCAAAAGAAAAAAAAAAAATACTAACAGGACATGAGACAAAGTATGGAACAAGAAAAATGAAATACGAAAAGGGCAGTATAAATGTGTGTGAAAGATGAATTATAAGTTTCTTTACCTCAAATTCTGCAGGCCCCACCATAGACAGTAGCAGTACTTGGACAAGAACTTATTTGATGAAACTACTTCGGATGCTAAAGCCTGCCTGAAGATTCCAAAATCAAATGGCGGATTGTTGTCATCATTCACAGGACAAGCTGAGTTTAAAACAGAATCACTAATAATGCTCCAGGTTTTGTAACCATTAGTCATCTGATTTCCACAGTACAAGAAATCTGTTCTACAACTACCACTGTGTTTACAAGCCCTCTGCCAGCATGTGTCATTACGTTCCACGGACAACAAGTACCAAAGAGCCCCAACTATCTGGAGAAAGAATAAGAAGGTACACGTATTGAATCTTATGAATTATTTTACATGAAAATGCAGCATCGATCACATTCAATAGAACAGCATAACTAACCTTATAGGATGCTGTGACAGAGATGCAAGAATGGAAGGATATCAATCTCAAAATATTTTGTGCTGATTTTTCGGGGGCCTTAATCGGTGCTTAATCTTGTGGATTTTGACTGATTTATTATTCCTCACATGCTATTATTTTCTTGCCCTTTATATTTCTTATCACCATTTTATATTAGCTATAGTTTGGTGCATATAAGATAGGTTTGTCAAGAGGATAGCATGAAGAGATTTATTCTGTAATAGCATAGGCTATTGGGCAAGTTTCTTGCTGGGCAGAGATCCTGCTGGAGAAGTCTAGTACTTCACGGAGAAGTTTCGTATTTTTTGTTTCATCCCTACTATATTATCATCAATAAAATTACATCTCTCTTTCTCTTGATCCTTTACTCCTATCAGATGCAAATGGGTCAGTAATGGAAATCTAGCAAACATTAAAAAGCAAAATGTTCATTCACCGTCTCGTATTGCTCTGCCGCAGCAACTCACAAATGTGGATGAAATTAGGATTGGATAACGTAAAAGAGAAGATCACGTATTATTTTTCTTAACATTGGAACTTGGAATTATCATTTGAATAGAAAGCTTACATGGCTCGCAAGCATGTATAGCAGCAAATAAGATACTGCACCGGCCCAAGCAGTTTCAGCGAAGACACCAGAAGTTCTTTTCAGTTCTGAAGTTAGTGGCAAAATTCGGGCAAACCTGGGAACGTACTGAAGCAAAATGATAAAAAATAGGGCTTGCTTTGTAGCCAGTACATCTGAGCCGTTTGACCTCTGTAGAAATCTCCATACAACTATCTGTATAGATTCAAAAAGATGCAAAAAAATAAGGATAACAAGAATGCCCAAAGATTTCTCGACTACCAACTATGAAGTAATTCACTGGTGATGAGAATACTCGGTTTATAGCCACAGACATATAGCAAGCAGAGTTTTTTAGCTAATACCAAGAGAAAAAAGGGGGGAAAAAAAATCGGTATCTATCAGTACACATCTGTAAGCATTTCGAGCAGAGCACACAGAAAAAGTAGAGCAAGGACATGGTGTTCCATTACATAGAAACTACTCACAGCCCAAAGATAACAAACACAAGGAACATAGTTATAGCAGTTGTGTACATCGATGTGAAGAATAAGTAAACATGGCGGCAAAACTGTTCACCAAAAATAACACAAGTCATAAATGAAACAACTGAAAGACAGAAGTATAGAAAATGTTGAAGTATAGGCAGATCATCCAATAACTGTGCAATGATTATAAGCTCAGAAAGTACAGAGTGCATGGTTCATACATCATACTGCAAGTTCCATGCTTGCGTAGTGCGTACAACTAGGAAATCAGAATGAGAACAAAACTAGATAAAGAAACATTACACACATCAATGTTCCATTTCAGAAGAGCTCCTAAGGTATGTTATGCGTAAAATACTAAAAACTCCTATTGATAAGAGACTGAAGCTATCACATATCAGACATGGAAGACAGATCTTGAAAGAAATGTCTCAAAATTCAGCCATCCAAATCTAAAATTACCATGTCTTTGTTTTCTTTCTCTTTCTTTGCTAAAAGAAAGGAGTAAGATAAAATTACGTACCAATTGTTCACTTCCTAATACTAAAAAAAAAAAAAAAAAAA